TATATATTTAAAATAATTAAATATATTAAAATATAACAAATTTTTTAAATTAATTACTACTATTATTTTTATATTTATATTTTTTAATTTTTAAAATATTATAACAAAAAATTTATTATTATTTATATTATTAAGTTTTTTATAGATTTTAATTTTAATTTTTACTATAAACTCTGTTTATTAAAAATAAGTTAAAAAAATAATAAATATTTTATATACTTCTATAAAATATAATATATTAATAAATATTGTTAAAATCTTTATGAAATGCTCTAATTTAATGTAATATTTTGTATAACAAATTAGTTTTACCTTAAAAATATAATTTAAAAATATATTAAAAATTAATTTTGTGTTAAAAATTAAATTTAAAACTAATTTAACGTAAAACTAAATTTAAAACTAGTTTTAACAAAAATCAAATTTAAAATCAATTTTAAACTAAATTTAAATTTTAAAACTATTTTTGAACCAATTAAAAAAATAAAATAAAACAGTTTAAAATTCAACTCATATAATTAATTTGTGTGATGGATAGATGATAAAAAGTAAAATATATCTAAATATTTATTACTTTAATAAAATATAAAAGTAAAAAATATTATTAGTAAATTAAAATATACATAAATATTTTTTGAACATGTATTGTTAATGTAATAGACTACAGTACTCCTTGTATTCATATTTTATCTTTAATAAATGTTGATGTTTTATATATATATATATATATATAATATTATATTATTTATTATAAAATTTAAATATTTTTAATATAATAATTAAAAAATTTATAGTATATTTTTATTATACATAAAAACGGTTTAAAACTAGTTTTAAACTAAATCTAAATTTTAAAACTAAATTTAAACTGGTTTTAGAAAAATTAAAATGGATTACTTTATAATCCAATCCTTTTAATTGGATTTTAAATGAATCTAAATTAGTTTTTTGAAAATCTAATCCATAAATACTCTTAGCTGACACTAAAAAATATATTGTAATTAGAATTAAAAAAAATATTAGTAACTAACTAGTTTATCAAATAAAATTATTGTTATTAAACAAACTTTTGAGCTAGTTAAATAAGATTTCAACTTGCTAAAGTTTTATCGAACATACTCTAAATACAAAGTTTTTGTATTAATTATTTCGTTCTACAAAGTCACTAGTATTTACTTTTATCTCCCACACAACTTCATTGGTAATTATTGAGGTGATTTTTACTTTCTACTTTTTGTACAAATTTAGTGAAATTTGTGACAACCTTTGGAAGAGACAAGTTTTTTTTAATCAAAATTTATATTTATTCAATTAAAGTTTAAATATTATTATAAATATTGATATTTACACTATTAAATTAAAGTAAATTTTACGTCATTCAATTAAAGTTGAAGTTGTTCAATAAAATACTATTGATCTATATTTTCCTCTAATTAAATATTGTAAATTTTGTATCATTAAATTATTAAGTTATTAACTATTAATACTAAATACTAAAGTTTTACAAAATAAAAATAAAAATAAAAATTATAATATAAAAGATGACAAGAAGTTACTCATAGTAGTTATGCTATACTGCTCTTCCCAAACTGCCTCTATTGTTGTCAAGACATGGCTCCATCAGAGATGCCATGCCTCTCACGTGTGAAGACAAAATAATATACAAACACCTCACGTATAAAAGGGTACCAACAACTTAAAAAATAATAACAAAAATAAAAGTAAAGGTACAATATTCATCGACAGAAGAAAATTGCTCTCCTTCCCCAGCTATTTCTATATCAAATAACAACAAAAACGATGAACAAATAAAAAATAACGTGTCCAAAAATATTAAATAAAATAAGTTTAAAAAAATAGAAACTCTAACCTCTCTCAAATTCGAATTCCATATTACTTTATAGTTCCTCGTTAGCCCTAAACGTCTAAGACGTCCTTTCTTTGTTCTCAATCTTCAAAGTGCAATGAATCAAAGTCAAATGATTAAAAAACGACAGCATAGTAGAAATACTCTAAAGGGTCAGAAGTTGAGAATTTAAACAAATAAAAATAAATATAAATGCATAAAATATGCCAAAAAAATATAAAATCAAATAAGTAGTAAAAAAAAATAGAAATCTAACATCTTTTAGATTGGAAGTTCATAACACCTTTTAAATTCAAACAACAATGAATAATGATAAAAGGACTTAAATCTTCAAATTTTTAAAACAGAAATAAAGATTTTGAAAGAGTCAATAAGGCAGGGACACAGCCACACAGGATAGAGAAATATCAAAGAAGAACATAAACAATAAAAAAAATATAGTGAGAGTTTTAAAGGACTTAAAGAAAAATTAAATCCTAACTAAGAATTCATAGAAAATCAAAGAAAAGAATTAAAAATAAGAAAAATAATTAAAGGAGAAAAATAAGAAAGGAGTTGCACGCAATACAAAATAAGACAAGAGTTAATTAAATAAATGCATTTATTATGATATTCATATACTTGAGAGAATATTTTATATCTTTATTTAATTGATAATTATGATTCTTCAAATTAAAAAATATTTATAGTTTTTTAAAATATATCACTAATCTCTACTGTTTATGTACATATTTAATATATAATTAATAGTGATAATTATTCATATAATATACATATTTAATATATGATCGATAGAAATAATTGTTCATATAGTATCATTTTAATCTGCTAAGGCATCGTAGAAATAATCTTAAAATGATCTTACAAATTTGTACTCGAAGTCCAAATCTGCGACGTGTAAATTTTTGTTTATAATTTTGGTATACCTATGAGTTAATAAGTTCGGTCACTGAAGGTCATTTGAAACTACCCGAGCCCAAACAATGAAGCCCGCTTCGAGCCCATATATACCCGTGACCCGCATTTCACCATTCGTGGCTTCAACTTTTTCGTCGGGTTAGTCGGGTTCGGGTGATTTGCGGGTTTTTGCACAGCCTTGGATCAGAATACGAAATTGCATATTGCAGCCTGAAGGGCCAGAACTAGCTAACAATATAACAACGAAACGGAAAAACAGGAATCTAAAACTCAAATTGCAGTACCCAACTAACACAAATCTCCCAATAAAAAACACTAACTAAAACTGCAAACAGAACACTAATCAAACACTATCACATTTTCATAAGAATTTTTCTTTTAATTACTTAAAGTAAAAAACTGAGATATACATACATATATATATATATATATATATATAATTTAAAATATTTAGAACATGTTTGTTTATATTTATAAAACAAATTCTTTTTAAAAAAATAAAGAATGCACTTACTTTTTTTTTAAAATGAAAATAAACATGCTCTTAATCAGCACTTTCTTTCTTTTTAAATAAATTAGAATGTTATTAAACTTATTCATCAGGAGATTTTTATGTAAATATAACGGGATAAATGCACTATTCATTCCATGATCAGAATTAACTGTTTAATTTGGTAATTTGATGCCCGAGGGTAAGTATATTTTCTTCACTGAAAAAGAACGCAAACTCAACAAGGAATTTGTTTATGATTACATAATAGGAAAATTTTGAACTATTTTCTTGCAAAGATAAGGTGATTAGTTGATGTTCGAATTCAATGTACTGATTAGCTACGTGTCTAGCTAGCCAGATAGCTTATCTATCTAATGAATATTTTATCAGGAGACTGTGCACATAATTAAAAAATTATAAATAATAAATATTTATTAAAAATTATAGTATTTAATTTTATTTGCATATTAAACTACGTGATATCTTAAACCACATGATATTTTGTAAGTTTTTTTTTAAATAGGCTTAATTATAATTTTGGTTTCTATATTTTAACATTAGTCCTTCTAATTTTTGAATGCTCAAATTAAATTATCTACCTGAAAATTAAGACTTTTACTATATTTTATAAATTTTATTTAAATATTATATATATTTTACTTATTTATATAAATTAATAAAATATAATATTTTTATTAATCATTTAATAAAATTTTAGGTTGGAAGACTTAAATTAAACATTTAAAAAATTAGATCAACTAAATGTGAGCAGTTAAAATTAGGAAATTAAAATTGTACATACATTAAATTATAAGAATCAAAAGTATAATTAAGCTTTAAATTTATTATACTTAAATTCTTATTATGTGAATTTAATTAAGTAGGCATTAAAAAATTTATTTACTTTTGCTTTTTTTCCCCCTTAAGGAAGGATCGTCGTACGTATCAGAGGCTTGGTGTTTATAGAAGAAAAAGCATTATTGAAGATAATCCCCATATTGATTAGCTACATGACTATTAGCTAGCCATATAATGAATATTTTATTAGGGTTTTTCAATATGTCTCAAAAGTACATAATAAAAAATATAAATAATAAATTTTTGTTTAAAATTAGAATATTTAATATTATTAATATATTAAATTACGTGATATCTTATAACTTTTGATAAAACTTATTATACTTCATTACGTAGACATTAACAAAATGTATTTTATTTTTGTCAATCTTTTCTTTTCTTAAGGAAGGGTCGTATGTATCATTAGGATCACGGAAGACAAAGCATTATTGAAGATAATCCCCATATTTTCTATACAATCTCTTGGCTCTATGAGAAGTTACGAAAGAGGCGCAATGAGGCTTCAGTTCTGTGCTTCAGTACAAGATTGAGAAGGCTCTAAACTCAACAATATCAAGCTTACATTTCTCTCTTTTAAAAAAAAAAAAGAACAAGTTGATGTTTAAATTTCTAATTTCTTTAATCCAAGATTAATTATATGTTTTCTCACTCGGCAAATTCTCTGGAATTGTTTAATGTACTAAGATCATGCAACAAATAAAGATACTATACAGGTGGAGTCACACAAATTATATTAAAGGAATATATATATATAGGCATTTCCTAAATCGTGGGCAGAGACGTACACTAGCTTGCAAGCTACCTGAGGAAACAATTTACATTAGACAATTCACATTATCCACAAAATGCTAAGTTTCTGAAGGTTCACATGTACAGATTAATCCACTCCATTCCATTGATGTAATGGGTCTCTGGAATGTAAAACACATCACCATCATCATATACTTCCACGCTAAACTCTCCAAGAAATGGTGGGTTCACAGCATCCATTGACTGTGACTGTGAGGAATTGGAGCTGTTGCTTGGGGCTCTATCAGCACGCTCTAGTAGCCGCTGAATCTCCTTGTTTGCCTCTAAAAGTTGCTTCTCGAGCTTCAATACCTGTCAACAATGATGAATGTTAATTTCCTACCAACAAAACCGGAGATAAAGGTTAAGATATATTCTTTTCCCTGTTCATAAGATTCAGTGTATTTGAACACGTGACATGCCTTCTATTAAGTGGGCACTAAGTAATGCCCAATGTGAGCCCACAAACAACATTGTACGGACTCTATCCATGGCCGAAAGACTCTTTTGTTGTACACTAACTAAGATAGCTTTTTCTGTTTCATGTCATGTGTCATTTGTCAATGTCTCGTAAAAAACTTTCTATTTAACATTGAATAATGTTTTCTCACAAATTTTTAATGATATCTGATATCTCTTTTCATGAAGTGTTTTTTAAATGCATATACATTTTAAATAAAATGATAAATAAAAAATGTATATATTTTGAAATATGTTTAAAAATTTAACATTCAAATAATAGAACTCTTTAACACAATTGGGACAACAAATTGGAAAATTCTAGCGACTATTTTAGAGTAGAAGTAACAATGGACAGTAAAATATAATGGAAAATTTTATTTATACAACTTTTTTGGCATAATTTTTTGAACAACTAAAAATGAAGCATGAAGAGAAAAGATAGAAATATGAAAAAAAAATGTAATAGAGAAATAAAAAGAAAATATTATAAAAAAAATGTAAATATAACTCAAATACAAAAGGTCTGAGCAGAAGGAACGAAGGATGCTTAAGCTTGCCCAAAACTGACGTTGTTGTGAAAGAAAATAACAGCTTAGACTGTGTTTGGCTACCAAAGCCATTAGATGGGAAACGATTCAAACGAATCTTAATTATTTTGCAAGGGTTAAAAAATAGTTTTTATCGAAAAATCATATATAATAGAAATTAATTAGGCAAAAATTTTCTTTGAAGGACATTGTGGCGTCTTCACTTTTTTTTTATGTGATGTAAAAGATTTACATAGAAATAAACATAATAAAATGTAAAATTCCAAAGAAAATTGCTCAAACAATAGAACTCTTAATTAGGTGTACCTACCTCGGCCTCAAGGTGGCATTTCTCGAGCAAGATGGCTTCATGAAGATTCTTAAGATTGGTGTATTCTTCCTCCAATTTTTTGTTCTTCCAACGAGATCTTCTGTTTTGAAACCACACCGCAACTTGTCGAGGGTCCAAACCAAGTTCCAATGCGAGCCTGTCCTTCCTTTGAGATTCAAGTTTATGTTCATTGCCAAAGTTTTGCTCAAGAAGATTAACTTGTTCAACGGTGAGCTTTCTCTTCTTAACGGTGTCCATAGCCCCGTTTTCTCCACCTTTATTCTTTTTATTTCGCCTGCGTCTTGGCTTGTTTTCCCCTGCGCATAGATATATATCAACAAATTAAATTAATTTAAAGAAGGGTGTTCGATTTCATATCGAAAATATATCTATATATACATTCACAAACACTAGAAAAATGGTAAAGGTTCTGACTATGGATGGTCACCTTGTTGAGGAGTTATTTGAGCGAATGAATCAGGGTATAGCTGAGAGAAGGGCATCACATGGTCTTCGATAGGTAGATGATTCATGGGTTTTGGAGTACTACACAGATATATAACTCTCTCTCCCAAGATGAGTGTGAGATGTTCTACTTGATAAGGGTGAAATGTTTTTTGAGAGACAACATAGAACACTACCATATATTTATAAGGAAAATCATGTGAGTGTCCGCTTAGTTTGTGTTTAAGTTGAAGAAGACTCTATTTCAAAATAATTTTAATATTTACACCCTTATTCTTTTTCTTTCGTTTTTTTTTTTTATCATTTTTTTCCTATTTCTTTTAATCACATTATCCATCATTTTTTTTATTTTTTTTTACTCTCGTCTCTCCTCTCACTCTAACTAAAATACCACTTTTGTTTTCACTTTCAAAAGGTCCTAACTTGAGTTTAAGATAATAGTAGTTTATTATTATTTCACTAATAATTATTTTATTTATATAAAATATTTTTATTATTTTAATAATCTAAGAATAAAATAACCAATTAATTAATAAAGGATCAATTAAAAGCTTAACGATTAATTTTAGCTGACTAATTTGGTTCTATGGTTTGTATAATTTCTACTTTCACTAAATAGATAAATCGAAACAAAGAGAGTATTATATACTTTTTAAAATCTTCTTTCTCTTATAATTTTTTTGTTATATCTTTTTAGCTTTTTATTTTTTTACCATTTCATTTATTTTTACTCTCTCACTGTTTCACATTCATAATATATAAGGGGTGAGAAAGTAACATTTAATGTAATTATATGTACTATTTTTCTTTCACTGATCAAACAATCAAACAACATCATGGAAGTATAAATATAGCTTGCTTCACTGATTAGTGAACCAAGCTAAAGTTCTCTGCAGCCGAAGGTTGGACACTAGTACGCACTAAAAGTGCCAATTAATAGTCATAATGCCCTTTCGGGCTGACTAAAAGAAGGAACAACCATAATGAATATACTGCCAGAATCGATTCATATTGCAAGATAAATTAACTGTTAATAATATAAAGAAGATTAATATATGAATATTTGTGATTTTATTGGCAAGCTAATTACAAAAGGTTATTAGAGTTTAAAACAAATTTTAAATGATAAATAGTTGTAAAAATGACTGCATACACTATTAATTTTAATAAATAAATTTAAGTTTTCAAAAATTCTTAGTTAAAGAAACCAATGCCCACAGTGGAGACCGTTGTGCAAATTAGAAGTCTTGGTTGTTCCTAGAAAATATGTGAGATGTCTTACGTTAGTTAAGAATAGGGTCAATATTTCATATAAGATTCGGATAAATTTTCTCTTTATGATTAGCTTTTGGAAGAAATTAAACTAATCTTTTAATATAATATCAAAGTTTATCTTATTTAAATGTGGAGTTATTCATTGATATTTAATTTTATAAACTTCATGCACAAGATATCATCTTGAGTATGAGGAGATATGTTAAGATATTTCACATGAACTAAAACTAAAACTTATTTTTTATAGGACTGGAACAAACTTTCTTCTAAAGATTAGCTTTTGAGAGTGTACTAAACTTAAGTTTTAAATAAAATGTGAATTTACCTTCTATTTATAACGGTGAGAATGTTCTCCAAGCTTCAAACATTTGAATATTACTGTTAATTGATTTTGTTTAATATATTAAAAGTGATATGGGTTAAATTCTTTTAAAAAATCAAATTGTAGTGTATATATATATATATATATATATATATATATATATATATATATAAACATTAATAGTATAACTTTTATTTAAAATTAATTAAATATTATAAATTGGTAAAAATAGCAGAGGAAATCGATGATGCTCCTAATGTTAGAAAATGAGAAACTCATTAAACTTTTATGTGATATTTAATTGTTTGTGATGGTGAAAAAGGTAATATAATATACCAGCAAGTTGATCATATGAAAAAATATCGAAGTATTATTTTAACAAATAGATCACCCAAAATGAAGTGTTAGTATGATAGATGTAAGGATGATGAGTTTCAAAAGGTTGGTGATGGGTCTATTGCAAGGCTTAAGCTAATGAATGTATATATTAATAGAGTAATAACATGGAATATATTTTATATTTGATGTAGTGACGTTGGTCAATTATACATTGATAAAATATAAGTGATATTCAATTCAGATATCGTAACAATTTCATGAGATATAATCCAATGTGGCTTAGTTGTAGAAGGATCCAAACCTTTGTGATGGAAAGTGTGATCTATTAACTATCGTCACTGTGCAAGTGGGGTCTTTAGGGCACGGGTCCCTCTACATTTGTTTAGTTATATTTTCATGATTATAAATTGGATAAAAGATTGATTTTTTTTTTTTACTTATATGTTTTATAATATTTACAATTAAAAGAAAAATGATATAATATAGACATATAAAAAATTATATTGTAAAATCTTTTAACGTATATTAGTTTGAAGTATAAAAAAACCAAATTTTATTAAAAATAAAGAATATAGTAAACAAATTCAATAATAACATTATTTTTATGCTTCAATTCAATTTAAAAACCTAATATAATAAAATATTTATAAAAATGAATAATAACTGGAAATTTTGTTGACCAGCACCTTTAAGATTTAAAATAAAATTTATATTAAAATATATTTAAAATTATAAACATAATATTTTTTAATAGGAAAGAGTAATGTGTGTATGAATGAAAGAAAACAAGGAAAAAGAAATTAAAAGAGGTAATTTACTCACCAAAATAAAATTTCAAAACTCATTTGGAAGGAAATTTAGAGGAGAGAATTTGATTTTATTTTTTTAATTCATTATTTAAAATTATTCAATAATATTTGTAGAATATAAAAAATTAAAAAATTAAAAATTATTTTTAAGTTAAATTAAAAATTAATTCTTTAATTTTTTATTTTATTTAAGTCAGGTCCTCTAACTTTGATTCTCTAACTTTTTTTTTTCATATTAATTCCAAAACTTTCAAAAGAGTTTTAAATAAGTACATTTTCATAAAAAAATATTTTGTTAAAAATATATTTTTTTGTTTCTTTTTATGAATTACAATGAAAATATAATATCTTTTGATGAATTTTTTGTTTTTTTTCTTTCATTTTCTCTTTAATTTTCTTTCTCTTTTTATTTTTTATTTACATTTTCACCACTTATTTTTTATTTTTTGAAAATTCCAATAAAATTATTTTCTTTTCATATTTTCTTCTTTATCATACTTTTCATTTATGCTCTCATGATTCATTTGTCTTTCTTTAAATTCTGGTAATTTCTTCTTTTTTTTTATCTTTTTTTTATCCCATCTATACATTTATGACTTTTTTTCTTTTTCTTTTTATCTCATGCAAAAATCTTCTTTTTTTTCTTAATTATTTTATTAAAATAGTCATAAATATCTTATTTGCACTAAATATTGTCGTTGTTGTCACTTTTTCTTGTCTCCTTATATAACTCTAAGACTCAAGTAAAATACTTAATAGAAATAAGAATATTTTTGCTATAATTTAACGAAAAAAACAAGTCTTCAAAAAAAGTCTTGAAAAGAGGAGATAAAAAGTCTTGAAAACATGAATGAAAGATAAAAAGAAAAAAATGAGAAAGAGGAAAAATAAGAAAATAAGAGTAAAAGTTTTTCAAAATATATTGTATTTACTTAGAAGTTAGAAGTTTAAAAAAAAAAAACGATATTTTAAGAAAAAATTATTTAAAATTCTTTTGTAAGTTAAGCGATCAAAATAAAAAAATAAAAAAAGTTAAAAGATCTGATAAATAAAACTTAAAATAAAAAATAATATATTAAATGGTTTATCTTTTATTGAAATAATATTATAATAAAAGCTTAAAATTTTTTATATTCATTAAATTTTTTATGATTATTTATAATATAATTTTACTTATTTTTTATTTTTTTTATTTTAATTCATCTAAATAATAATTTTTTATTGTATCTGTTTTTTTTTTAATATATATTTTTCTATTTCACCCTTACCGTTAACATTGCTCTCCCTTCTCCCAATCTCTCTCCCTCCACTTTGTCGCCCAATTTGTGGAGAAAGATATTTGAGATGTCATCATTGTTGACGTAGGCACCTAAGGTGGAGAATAGGTGACTTTTGCTGTTAGACAAAAGAGCCAATGTACAAGATAACATGTTGATTACAGTGATTCAAATGTAAACGGATATGATGTGTATAAACTACAAAGTGATGCTATGTGGTATATATAGACATGGATGAGGAAAGCACTAACCAAAACTTGCTTTTAGATTGGAGGGCATTCACTAAGCTGAAACGGGTAAACATTATTATGGATAATACTTTCTTGTTAATCTTTAACCTTTTTCGCAAATTATTTAAAAACAGTACTGTTCAGATTTCTAAATATCGAAAAGTGCCAAACTCATCTCTATAGACTATAATAAAGTAAAAACAATTGAAGGTATTCTGATGACATAAGCAAGACAGGAGTGTATTTTATGATTAATCTTTTAATCTTATTTATTTTAACATGCCATGTGTATAAGGGCACATATTAAAAAAAATAATTTTTTTTAAAATACAGTATTTAATATTATTAATGCATTATATTTTATGATATTTTACATCTTTTAAAAAATTACTATATAGGAATCCTTATGTCTTCATATACATTAAAAATTTATAAGGAATTTGACTCTTTTAAATAAAAATATATATGCAAAAATAAAAGAAAAAATTAGCTATGACTAATTTAAAAGTTAGTTATATTTATAAAATATCTTAATTTAAATAAATGGTAAATATATTTTTATTTTTTTACTTTTAAAAAATTAAATCTAACAAAAAATACCAATTAAAAAGGATCCATTTTTCATGACTAAGAGTTTGTTTTATCAATTAAAATTAAATTCATCACTTTTTATACATGAATCTTCGTTTGAATCAAGTTATTTTAAAGTAAGAATCACTAAAAGCAACCTAAATCCGTTTTTAATGAAAACACTAACATTTTATGCAACTGAACATTATTTTCGTCCGTGAATTTATATTATAGGTATTTTTATAT